TAAGCCACTGGGTCCGGGACACAAACCGTGGTCGACTACGTGGGAGTCCAGCGACATAGCCATTACGCTAACTGCTGGTTCCCTCCTTCCAATAATTCTTAAGTTGTACATTCCAAAATCACATTTTCTTCTATCAAAAACAGGGACAGGGTGGTGGTAGCCAGACAGTGGCACAGCAATAAAACACAATGCAGCATTCTACAAGGCAGACCCACGTAGGAAGGTTGCTGGTTCGTGACTAGAGACTTCTCTGAGTACGCCAGGTATGGGTGTGCCCATGGCTCAGCTGACTGAGCTGGGGTATGGATCATGGCATCAAGTCTGTAACAGGTGCTGTCTGTCTATCTCTGTCTGTGTCTACCTTAAGGGGGCCAGCAGGTGCTATAATGGTTAAGGTGCTAGACTCCCACAAGGTCAACCGGGGTTCAAGTCCCTGACCTAGCGGCTTGAAACACACCAGGCGTGTGCATGGGTGCCCAAAATCCAGAGAGAAGAATGGAGAAGGGATTGTGGCATAGCCATCCCTCCTTGGGATGGTTTCTCTCTGTCTCTGTGTCTTCAGCAAGCACATGCAGGAAAAAAAAAAAAATTAAAAATCTCTTTAAGAAAAAAAAAGGAGAAAAAGATGGGATCAGCAGTTGGCATAATGGCTATGTTGCTGGACTCCCTTGTGGTTGACCACAGTTCGAGTCCCAGACCCAGTGGTTTAAACTCACACCGGGCGCATGTGCATGCATGCCCAAGATCCTGAGAGGAGAATGGAGGAGAAGAGATTGTGGCATGGCCATTCCCTCTGGGGGGTGATTTCTTGCTTTCTGTCTCTCTCTGTCTTTCTGGCAAGCACACACACCCTATAGCAAAAACCTCTCCAAAAAAGAAAATAGGGCCAGCATGTGGCATGGAGGTTAAGGCACTGGATCTCACATGGCTGGCTTCCCAGTTCAAGTCCCCAACCCAGCAGCTTGAAAATCACATGAGACATGTATGCATATGTGCCCAAAGTCCTGAGAGGAGCCTGGAGGAGAGGGGATTGCTGTGTGGCCATTCTCCCTGGGGGTGAGATTTCACACTTTCTCCCTCTGTCTCTCTCTGGTGAGCATACAGACCCTATAGCAAAAAGACTAAATAAAAATAATAAAATGAAAATTAAAACATACTGAGAAATGTGGCAAAAACTACAAAAGGAAGAAAGTCTAGGTTGTGGCCTTGTATACACAAACTGATTTCTTCCCATCCCTAACCTTCAAACTTGTCACAGTCTCATAATTTATGACTCAAACTGTTATTTAACCATGAAAAAAGACAAACCAGTAAATTAGAGACCGAATGACTTACAATTTATTTCATTCAACTGAGCTAATCTCCTAATAAGGGCGTGTATAATAACAAGTCATGCTATATCTATTCTGGAAGATGTGAGCATTGCAGAAAAAGCACACGGTGACTGCAAATCCCAACTTGCTGAGATTTGTCCTCAGAAGGATAAGTGCCTGGTCCTAGGCCGAGCCACCTAGCAGTTTGTTAAAGGAACCTTCACATGTGGGCACTGTAATAAGTTGCAGTCTCCACTCTCAGGCTGACCAGGTTCAAGTCCTAGCACTGCGACGTCCTAGGTAAGCAAGAGACACACCCCATCCCTTAGCCTTTCCTCTGTGATATAACAGTAACAATACCCATCTCCTGGGGTTGCTGTTAGGACGGACGAGCAGAGCACTTGGCATATACAATGCATGCGAGCCCCCCCTTCCCCACCAAAAAAGCAACTCCGTCAACTTTTGTTCTATGTTAAGCAGTAATTGGCAAGACCAAGAAGAAGGCTGGAGGCCCCACAAAGTGGGATTCCATGGAGCCACTGGAGCATAGTCAAGTATCCCAAGCAAGAGAGAGAAGAGGGTCCCAGAGGAGGCCCAGGCAGCTGGCGGGTGGAGCGTTGGATGGGAAAGCCAAGGACAGCTACTGGCAGCCAGGGAGTCCGTGTGGGTGGGAGGACGCAGGGGGCTGCACTCCAGTCTCTCCGCATTAGCTCAATGTGGCTGCATCCCCACCCTTGCATGTGTTCATCCGTACATGACACTGAGCACACCCTGGCCCAGCCGCCCCCACTGTGTGCAAGGCACTGTCTGAGTGGAGGGCTGCCGCGGGAACCGGCATAAGAAGCCATGGTTGCCCTCCCAGGCTTTATAACTGGGTGCAACTGCCCCAATTCAGACATCTGTCCTGACTTCAGAGCCTTTTTTTAAAAAATATTTTAAAGAAGAAAAGCAAAGCGTTCAAAACATGTTCTAGAAACAGGAGCACCAAGTGAATCACCAAGTGAATCTTGATAATGTTGAGGGGACATTATTTAATTTTTAGGTGAAATGATAACGTGGCAAAGTTTCGCAAGAGTCCATTTTTGGAGAAACACTATAATACTGACTTTCATTTAGATAAAATGATATGTTCTGATGGTTAAGATTTATTTCACAGCTGTACAGGAGGCAGAGAGGTGAGCGATGCTATAAAACAGAGCTGTGCGTTGGTGATAGGCAGCTAGGTGATGGGTACAGATGGGGCTCATTACTCTCCTGTCCCCTGCATGTATTTCAAAGTTCCCATAATGCAGTATCTCAGGTTCATAAATGCCGAGCATTTGTAACCCAGCGATTCTTGTCTTACTGGTTCTTACAGCATATTTACTTCCTGAAGACATGTGCTCTTGGATAAGAGATGAGACTATGGGAACATCTGTCAGAAGGAGAACGGATGGGGTGACCCCACTCAGGGTCAGAAAAGCATCTTAAACTCCCCTCCCACACCTGTGTGAGGACCAAGAATGGGGTCTCCTGGGCCGGGAAAAAAGCACTCAGTGGGACTGGTGTCCGTCTGGACACTGCTTTTAAGCTCAGTGAAAATTATTTTTAAATTGGTTTCAATGTATTTCAAACCACGATCAACTATTTTCCTCAGTAGAAAGCCATTATAAACAGAGTGGGCAAATTAGTCAACCTTTCTCACTTCATTTTTCACAACTAGAAAAGGGGGGTAACCACACACATCCTATACCCACAGGCGTGAGGATACACGAGCCTGATGCGCGTTGAGCACCGGGACCGTAAGCACTGACAGGGGCAGCCAATCCGTGGGTTTGGTAAACGTCAGTGTCAGCCTCTGAGGGTCACAGGGGAGCAGGCCCATCTTGAGTGTTCAGCTTGGTTGTAGATGCTGTCCTTAAACATCTAAACGAAACCGATATCAAGGCACGTGTGCTCGGAAACCTCTCTGAGCCATGCGTCCTGCTGGGGGCAAGTCATGACTGGTCTCCCTTCTGCTCTGGGAAGAACAAGCTACCTGGGCTGGAGGCCCCCAGCTTGCTTGCTTTCTGAGGAATGACTTGAAAGACAAGGAGTGGGCACTGCCTACCCTGGGCCATGACTTCGAGGGCAAGACGGATCCTAAAAAGGCAGATTGCAGCAGATCAAAAGGCAGGGCTCAGGATGCACCAGTCAGACAGCAAGCCCTGTACCCACAGACATCTCCCCAAAGGGAGTGGTCACAGGCAAGCAGCCCTTGGAGGCCTCCAGACACCAGGGGGCAGCACAACACACTTTCCCAAATAGGAGGGCCCTGCCAAATGGCTGGTAAGGTGATTTGGCAAGAGAGACACTTTCAGTGGCATGGTGGTAAAGGCAGGTGGATCCTACATGGCTGGCTATGCAGTTTGAGTCCCAGACCCAGTGGCTTGAAAAACCACACCAGGCACATGTTAAGTGCATGCCCCAAATCCTGAGAGAATGGAGAAGGGATTGTGGCATGGCCAAATCCCAGGGGGTGCTTTCTCGCTTTCTCCCCTACCCCTCACCCCCAGGATCACAGGTTCCTATAGCAAATTGGGGAGGGGGGGGATAAAAAGAGATACTTCTGAGAACAAATGTAAATAGTCATGGCTTGCAGAGGAATTCCGAGAGTGGCAGGTAGTTGCCAGCATGACCAGTTCCTGAGTCTTCCCTACTTGCCCCCAGGCCCCTGGGAGAGGGTCTCCTGTGAGACAAACTTCAGTCAGAAGAGGGAGCCACAGGTGACAAGACCGGAGGAGGCACGGAAATGAAAGCAGAAGGTAGGCCGTGGAAGTTAGGCCGTGGCACTGACAGATCAGCCATGCCACGGCGTTGGGTTCCTGCTCCAAATCACCTGCCAACTGGGAACTTTTGTTCTATGTTAAGCAGTAATTGGCAAGACCAAGAAGAAGGCTGGAGGCCCCACAAAGTGGGATTCCATGGAGCCACTGGAGCATAGTCAAGTATCCCAAGCAAGAGAGAGAAGAGGGTCCCAGAGGAGGCCCAGGCAGCTGGCGGGTGGAGCGTTGGATGGGAAAGCCAAGGACAGCTACTGGCAGCCAGGGAGTCCGTGTGGGTGGGAGGACGCAGGGGGCTGCACTCCAGTCTCTCCGCATTAGCTCAATGTGGCTGCATCCCCACCCTTGCATGTGTTCATCCGTACATGACACTGAGCACACCCTGGCCCAGCCGCCCCCACTGTGTGCAAGGCACTGTCTGAGTGGAGGGCTGCCGCGGGAACCGGCATAAGAAGCCATGGTTGCCCTCCCAGGCTTTATAACTGGGTGCAACTGCCCCAATTCAGACATCTGTCCTGACTTCAGAGCCTTTTTTTAAAAAATATTTTAAAGAAGAAAAGCAAAGCGTTCAAAACATGTTCTAGAAACAGGAGCACCAAGTGAATCACCAAGTGAATCTTGATAATGTTGAGGGGACATTATTTAATTTTTAGGTGAAATGATAACGTGGCAAAGTTTCGCAAGAGTCCATTTTTGGAGAAACACTATAATACTGACTTTCATTTAGATAAAATGATATGTTCTGATGGTTAAGATTTATTTCACAGCTGTACAGGAGGCAGAGAGGTGAGCGATGCTATAAAACAGAGCTGTGCGTTGGTGATAGGCAGCTAGGTGATGGGTACAGATGGGGCTCATTACTCTCCTGTCCCCTGCATGTATTTCAAAGTTCCCATAATGCAGTATCTCAGGTTCATAAATGCCGAGCATTTGTAACCCAGCGATTCTTGTCTTACTGGTTCTTACAGCATATTTACTTCCTGAAGACATGTGCTCTTGGATAAGAGATGAGACTATGGGAACATCTGTCAGAAGGAGAACGGATGGGGTGACCCCACTCAGGGTCAGAAAAGCATCTTAAACTCCCCTCCCACACCTGTGTGAGGACCAAGAATGGGGTCTCCTGGGCCGGGAAAAAAGCACTCAGTGGGACTGGTGTCCGTCTGGACACTGCTTTTAAGCTCAGTGAAAATTATTTTTAAATTGGTTTCAATGTATTTCAAACCACGATCAACTATTTTCCTCAGTAGAAAGCCATTATAAACAGAGTGGGCAAATTAGTCAACCTTTCTCACTTCATTTTTCACAACTAGAAAAGGGGGGTAACCACACACATCCTATACCCACAGGCGTGAGGATACACGAGCCTGATGCGCGTTGAGCACCGGGACCGTAAGCACTGACAGGGGCAGCCAATCCGTGGGTTTGGTAAACGTCAGTGTCAGCCTCTGAGGGTCACAGGGGAGCAGGCCCATCTTGAGTGTTCAGCTTGGTTGTAGATGCTGTCCTTAAACATCTAAACGAAACCGATATCAAGGCACGTGTGCTCGGAAACCTCTCTGAGCCATGCGTCCTGCTGGGGGCAAGTCATGACTGGTCTCCCTTCTGCTCTGGGAAGAACAAGCTACCTGGGCTGGAGGCCCCCAGCTTGCTTGCTTTCTGAGGAATGACTTGAAAGACAAGGAGTGGGCACTGCCTACCCTGGGCCATGACTTCGAGGGCAAGACGGATCCTAAAAAGGCAGATTGCAGCAGATCAAAAGGCAGGGCTCAGGATGCACCAGTCAGACAGCAAGCCCTGTACCCACAGACATCTCCCCAAAGGGAGTGGTCACAGGCAAGCAGCCCTTGGAGGCCTCCAGACACCAGGGGGCAGCACAACACACTTTCCCAAATAGGAGGGCCCTGCCAAATGGCTGGGAAGGTGATTTGGCAAGAGAGACACTTTCAGTGGCATGGTGGTAAAGGCAGGTGGATCCTACATGGCTGGCTATGCAGTTTGAGTCCCAGACCCAGTGGCTTGAAAAACCACACCAGGCACATGTTAAGTGCATGCCCCAAATCCTGAGAGAATGGAGAAGGGATTGTGGCATGGCCAAATCCCAGGGGGTGCTTTCTCGCTTTCTCCCCTACCCCTCACCCCCAGGATCACAGGTTCCTATAGCAAATTGGGGAGGGGGGGGATAAAAAGAGATACTTCTGAGAACAAATGTAAATAGTCATGGCTTGCAGAGGAATTCCGAGAGTGGCAGGTAGTTGCCAGCATGACCAGTTCCTGAGTCTTCCCTACTTGCCCCCAGGCCCCTGGGAGAGGGTCTCCTGTGAGACAAACTTCAGTCAGAAGAGGGAGCCACAGGTGACAAGACCGGAGGAGGCACGGAAATGAAAGCAGAAGGTAGGCCGTGGCACTGACAGATCAGCCATGCCACGGCGTTGGGTTCCTGCTCCAAATCACCTGCCAACTGGGAGGATGAAGGATTCTGACTGAGCTTCACATCTTAGTCTCTGCTTGACACACTCCACTGGAACTAGAGGAGACTGCCTCAGCACCCCCTTTTCTCTGTGCCTCCTCCAAGAGGGAACAGGAAGGAGAGTAGAGAGCTAGAGACAAAGTTCAGATGTTCTCTGTAGGTCCCAAAGAATGTTCTCAAAAGGCCCTTGGGCTTTGGGGACCTTTGAAATGTATTTAAGAGATTGTCCTAAGCTTCTGGAAGCCCCCTGGCTCCAAAAAAGAAAGCAACCTCCTGCAGTGAGACCTTGAATGCAGGGTCCAAGAGCAAGGGCTTTGGAGTCAATATGCCTAGGTTCAAATCCCAGTTCTGCTATCGATTAGCTGTTACATTGGGCAAGGCACTTAACCCTTGTTTCCTCCCCTGTAAAATGAGGACAATGGCTTTACAGGGCAGAATTGTTGCTCAGAACACCAGAAAGCCTTCAACTAATGTAGCAAGGATCCTCCTCGGCCCAAAGGGAAGTGCTACTACTGACCCGTGGAGTTCTGGAAGAAATCAACACACTACAACGTGAGGCAACATTTGAAGGAAGTAGGATGTTTTCACACAAAGTAGCCTAGACACATGTGGAGTACTGCCCTTAAGGCAGACCCCAAACCTCAAAGATTTGTGCCACTTTTCATCAAAAAATAGCCCCCAGAGCCCACCAGGCTACCGAGGCGTATTAAGTCAGGGTTGGGAATGGGTCTGCCTTGTTTTTTCCTGAAGGGGTAGAAAGGGAAGGGGATACTTTGGGTTTTGTACAAGACTAGCAGAGGGCAGCACTCAAATCCAAGCGCATAGGTCAGAAGCTGCAAGGCAGGCTGGCCGCCCTGGAGGTGAACCCGCCACCCCTTTCTGAGCCCAGGCCAGCACCAGTGGTGTGAGGAGCCCATCTCGGGCCTCTCTGAGCAGGACTGGGTTTCCCTGGGATGGGGACGAAAGGGTTACACAGGCTCTGGGCTCTGAGGGAAGGCAGCTTAGCTATAAACAGTGATCTGAGGGAGGGAAGGAGGGAGGGAGCTGACACAGGATGTGGCCAGGGCTCGAGCTGTCTGATTATTAACTTCACTTTTATTTGGAGGGGGATTCGATTCTCTGTTTTACTTCTCATCAAGGAAGTGAAAGCCCAGGTCTCGGAGGAGCCTGGTTTCAAATTGTTTTGTCACAGCTCATTTATTTTTCCTCTTAAATAAATAAACAAAATCACCTCTTTGTTTTCCTCTTAATGAGCATTCAGCAAATCATCTGTGGGTGAAGCATGAAGGGGGTTTTCTGGAGTCCTTCATGGGGGAACTTTTGGCTTCTTTAAAATGGAAAAAAAAAAAAAAAGTCTCTCTACTTAGCATAGGCTTCTCCAAGACTCTCAAGTCCCTTTCCTTTCTGTCTTCTCATGAAATCCCAACCTAGGCAAGACAAGAGTCTGAAATCCTGCCCTCAAGCCCAGTCAAGCCTCTTAGACCTTTGGCTGGTCCTTGGAGCCTGACCTGCTAATGGCTGTCCAGTCTCAAGCTCCAACCACGAGACCACACAGAGGAAGCAGTGAGCACGGGGCCTGGTGGTTGGTCTTAGTTGAGTTCAGACCCATGGTTTTTGTTCCTAGGGCACCCTGATATTTCCACTAAAAATAACTTAAAGCAGTTAAACACACAAAAGGATTTCATTACAAGACTTAAGAAAACATCATTACCCATTCTTTTGCCCAAGGTTCAAAATATTTGGGAACTTTGTTTCCAATACCAAAATCCTGATAAAAACCCATTCATTAATTTCCTGATCCCCTGGCAACAGCCCTTTCTGAATGACCTGCAGGGAGGACACACAGACCAACAATGCATGGTCCCTACCCTTGTGGGTTCCCACACTTCAGTAGGGAGCATGCAGCCACTAAGACTGAAAGGAAGAGAGTCCGAGAGCAGAGGCTAATGGTCTCCAGGTGGGCAGAGGAGGGCAGAGGCAGATTCTGATGTTAACCAAAGGGAAATTGAAGGCTCGTGGATAGGGCTGATACTGAAGCTGGACCTTGACGGTCTGATGACACTAAGAGTATCGGCTTCTAGAAATAAAGATACTTCTGAGACACGATGACTGTGGCTCCTCGGGTGGTCGGGCGGGATTGAGACCATGGCCACTGAGCTCCAGGCCTCCAGACCCTGACCCCGGCTTGGAGACTGGGGCGGCCTGTGGAGACAAGAGCTGTCCAACAAGCCCTGACGGGCACCAAGGCCTGCTTTAACTGCCTCTGACGAGAAGCTCTCCACGATAAGGCAAAAAGAAGGGGCTGGAACGACTCCAGTTCGCCGACGAAGGCCGGCCCGGCCCTGCTAGTGGGATGACATCTCCAAACCCCCGGGGAAGGCTGCTTGAAGTTCTTGGAAGTTCCTCCCCATTCCCATGGCATCCCGGGGTCCAAACCTACGCCCGCCCGCAGCCGGCCTTCCCGGCCAGGGCTCCCCAGAGGCGACGGCACCGGGCGTCGCTGGCGGCGGTGGGAGCGAGCGGCGGCCCGGCCCGGCC